ACCAGTGTCTCGGATGGTGCAGATCCTGTGGGTCCTACTTCCTGTGTCTCACCCGGCCACTAGCAAGACAGTGGTGCAAGAAGACCCCTTGTTGGGGTATTGACAGATGTTTGCTTCTCGTGTCTCGACCAGCCGTCATCGAGAATATAATATAGTGGTATGAACCCCCTACCTGTGGCTCTGTTGTTGTTCCTTTTTGGCCTCACCAAATCCTGCGTTCATCTGCCAGGAGCTGAGCCCCACCCAGCATGACAGACAGGAAATATAAAAATGGAGATAGAAAACATAAAAAGAACCAGCAAGAAATAAAGAATAAAATAACTGAAATGAAGAATACATTAGAGGGAATCAACAGTAGATTAGATGAAGCAGAGGATCGAATCAGCAATTTAGAAGATAAGGTAGCAGAAAACACCCAATCAGAATAGCAAATAGAAAAAAGAATCCAAAAAAATGAGGATACTTTAAGAGGCTGCTGGGACAACATCAACCGTACCAACATTCGCATCATAGAGGTACCAGAAGGAGAAGAGAGAACAAGAAATTGAGAACCTATTTGAAGAAATAATGACTGAAAACTTACCTAATCTGGTAAAGGAAGTAGACATACAAGTCTAGGATGTGCAGAGTCCCAAGCAAGATGAACTCATACAGGCCCACACCAAGACACATTATAATTAGAATGGCAAAGGTTAAAGACAAAGAGAGAATCCCAAAAGCAGCAAGAGAAAGGTAATTAGTAACTTATAAGGGAGCTCCCATAAGATTGTCAGCTTATTTCTCAACAGAAACTTTGCAGGTCAGAAGGGACTGGCACAAAATATTCAATGTGATGAAAAGCAAGGACCTACAACCAAGATTACCCTATCCAGGAAAGCTATCATTTAGAATCAAAGGACAGATAAAGAGCTTCCCAGACAAGAAAAAGCTAAAGGAGTTCCTTACCACCAAACCAGTATTATAAGGAATGTTAGAGGGGCTTCTTTAAGACTATATATACATAGTGCTAAGAAAATGTATACACATTTTAAGAAAGGAAAAAACTATTAATTGTAATACTCAATATATACTGATAACAAAAGATGAATACGAATCATGTTTTACTTCTGCAATTACAAGAGGTGTTCAAAGTGGTTACCATCAGCATCCAGACACTTCTGATTATGAACTACTGCCTGAACATAAATAACATCTCTTAAAATGTGTGTACATTTTTTTGGCACCCCTGGTATATATGAATTATAAATGGCAATAACTACATATCTGTCAATAATTACTTTCAATGTAAATGGATTAAATGCTCCAAAAGATAGGGTATTTGAATGGATCAGAAAACAAGACCTTTACATATGCTGCCTACAAGAGACTCACTTCAGATCAAGACACACACAGACTGAAAGTAAACAGATGGGAAAAAGATATTTCTTGAAAATGGAAACAAACCAACAAAAAAAGCTATGGTAGCAATATTTATACCAGACAAAATAGACTTTAAAATAAAGGCTATAACAAGAAAGGACCTAGTAGTTCCACTCTGGGTAATTATCCGAAGAAATCCAAGATGCTACTGTGAGGGGACATGTGCAAATCTATGTTCATTACAGCATTGCTTACAATGGCAGAGAGAGAGAGAGAGAGAGAGAGAGAGAGAGAGAGAGAGAGAGAGAGAATCTGTCCAAATCTATGATCTGGAATTTTTATAATACTCGCTGGGTATGAAAATTATGCCCCAGGAGTCCTTGAGCTGAACTGAACCAGCTACACATCAACTGACTTATGGCTTTCCCTCGAGGAAGAAATTTTATCTTTTGTTCAGCCCTCACTTCTCAGTATTAATATCTCCATTCATCTCCCTTCTGGTCAGTTTTCCACATCTGGAAGAATCTGGAAGTAGATTTTTGATAAAATGCAGCTCAGGATGGCTGGTTTATTAGCGAGTCTCACCGTGTGTAATAACATCCTTTAGCCAGTGTGTATAGATACTTGGGTCACAGGGCTCAGTGACAGAAGATTCTCTCAAGGACGATGTACCTTTTGGACCAAAAGATCCACGCCAGGTGCAGTCAGCAGAGACACAGTAGATCTCATGGGGAGGCTGTTTCTCTTGTTCTCTTAGTAACCTTGGTTCAGAGCTGTCTTCCCTCGCTGAACTCTCAAACTTCTGTTTCAAGGTAACTTGTTAGCAGGGGCCGGGCTTCTCTGAAAGGACTGTTAGGATGTAAACACTGCTCTTTCTTATATCCCATGGGACTTAGTTCTTTAGAACCTCTGTGGGATCCTGTGGTCCCAAAGGGTGCTGTCTTTCTGACTAGAAGGAACTGCAGGGAGCAAACCTTCAAAACGTATTCCTTTCTCCTGGGAGCTAATGTCATATTCCCTCAGGAAGCACAGCTCTGTTCTCTGTGGTCACTTGCCTAAAAGAAAGCCCATTTGGGGATTTGCAAGATTGAAGAAAATAACACATGCTGGAAAGATATGAGACCTTGATGTAAGAACATCCAAATCTTACATTGAGAATTTTTATAAAACTTTATTTGAGCCAAATAAAGGATACACCTGGAAGCAAGATCTCAGCAGACTGAGAAAAATACTTAGAATACCAGTTTGTATTTTCTTTATGTATTTGAAATTAAGGAGGGAACATAAGGTAGATTATGTGAAGGTGGGAGAAAACAAGGCGAGGATTGGATTACAGGATAGTTTCTTACAGGATTATGTGTCCCCTTGGGGGGTGATTCTGAGGGATCTAAAGAGGATTATTCTGGTATTTCAAAGGTGTGTTAACCTAGATGCACAAGAATAATGGACAGAGCTGGCTTAAAAACCTTTCACTAAAGATGTTAGAGGCCTGGGGAATGATTTTCCACCACGACCTACCCATTTAGGAATTTATCAGGTCACACTGTGAGGTTACTTTGTATAGAACCCCTCTTTTCACGCACAGACCCATGTGTTCTCTGGACATTGATGGGACAAATGTATCATTTTAGGGAATCCTGTAGTTGTAATTGTAAACCTTTTTTTGCAAAAAAGACCACCAGAATTTGTATCCCGAGTTCTGATTCATCATTGAAGGTGTGGAATCTAAATTTTGGAACCAATCAGCTCCCAGAAATGCCCTCCAGCCCATGCCATAGAGGGAGCAAATCCATATGGAGACCCCAGGCACCCAGGGCAGCCTAAGTTGGGACTTTGTACTAAGGGGCAGCTGCAGCTCAGAAGGGATTAGAAACATGTTGACCAAGCACATCTCACAGCAACTCTAAGGAAACGGGTCCCACGAAAGACTTCTTTCTGGCTCCTAAGAACTTGCCCCTTTTGATTCTCACCATGGCCATAGGAGGTGAGCTGTTGTCTGGTTTCTTCCCTCCTGCAGGAGGTAGAGCCAGCTTCCCACAGTGGGCCTTTGTCAGTTTCGGCCTGACCAGTTCATGGCACTGGAGAACCCAACAGGTCCCCTGGAATGCCTCCCACAGTATTTCCCAGGATGGGACAGTGAGCTCAGTGGTCCTTAAGCTCTTCTAATTTGGGTTGTAATGATTCCTAAGACAGTTTCAACACTTCAGGGGCCCAGGCGGCCCTGTAACCTTATAAACAGGTGCATGTCTCAGCACCTGCATAAAACACAAGTATAAAGACTATTCCAGTACTTTGCACTTATTTGTCCAGCATCCTTCCTCTGTGCCTTTCTCCTTCATCGGGGAGAACTGGTCCTTTCCCAAATTTCACCCAAGGTCTGGGCCAGGCCAATCATGTAACTCTAGTTCCCAGGGACGGCTCAGTGACCCAAGCTGGATCAGTTAGAATCCTTCTCTGGGATTTTACATAGATGTTGCCAGAGGGAAACCTCTTGCCTCTGGGTTCTAGCTCCTGGTGCTATATCCCTGTGGTGTGAAGTAAGAGAGAATGAAGTTGGCATTCAGGAGAGAGTTGACACAAGAAAAGGTGGTTCTACTCTTCTAAAGCAACCACAATTTTTCTTTTCTTTCTTTTATTGGGGAACAGTGTGTGTTTTTCCAGGAACCATCAGCTCCAAGTCAGGTAGTTGTTTCAATCTAGTTGTGGAGGGCGTGGGGATCGAACTGGCAACCTTGGTGATGTGAGCACTGTGCTCTAACCAACTGGGCTAACCAGCCACTCCAGCAACCACAATTTCAATTTGTGTCATCCTTTCTAGGCATCTATGTGTAGCTTTTAGTTTAATTTCATTAATATTTCTTTTTTTCTAAAAGTAAATCACGTTTTATTGTGGACAATTTGGGCAAAACAGAAATGTACTGTATTTCCAACACAGAGAAAACCATTGTTATCATTTCAGCCTTTTCCCTTCCAATTTATTTTTCTTTGCCCATTTTTTTTTTTAAGCAACCTTGAGATTTTACTAAATATAGGTTTTGTCACTTAGAGCTTTTGTGTCTTACAGCTACTTTGCCAGTCAAAACTAGAGTTTCTTGTTGATGGCCTGGGCCAGTGTGGTCTACATTTAAAGGAGAGCAGGAAGTTATACACATTTTGTAGTAGGTTTTCTCGTGTTCCTGCAGGGTACCATTCCCTCCACCTTTGTACGGAAATAGAAGGTTTCCTATGTATCCTTACTGCCGACATTAAATGATTTCATCTGGTGTTTTGGTTCACTCAAGGAAAATGGAAGGAGCCTCTTTTCTTTAAAGTGAGAACACATGTGAAAATCACCTGGGCTCTTTTTTTCTTTCCCAAGCCATTCCCAATTTTGTAATAATTAACATCTAAATAAACTGGGATGTTTTCCATACCTGGGGGTTTAGGTTTAATGGTTTTCTGAATTTCAGTTTGGTCTATCCCACCATGTGCGGTATTGGTGAGTGAAAAACAAAGCAAAGAAAAAGAATTTCTTTTGAATTCAAGACCAACAAACTAATGCAACAAGCAACAGTTTATTTTTTTTTTAAAAAAAGGAAAAAAAACAACAAAAAGAAAAGAAAAACAAACACCTTTTTACTACATTTTATAGATTAAGAAAAAATACTTGTATTAATATATATGTATATACATACTGCATATATATATATACATATGATATAACATTAAAATTACATGCTTCTCAGGACAGAAGAATTAGGACATGTTCCCTCATATGAATTTAAAACTCTATCACAATTTAAAAGCACTGCAAGATTAAACTTGCTTCCTTATTTTCTTTTTTTTAGACTTCAAGTATAGGAAGTTATCAAACCAGGATCTAAATGTGGAAAACCATCTGCTATGCACAAATGACAACGGACTGCCGCAAATCATGAGTCAGGGGTTTTCTGAATTGTCCTACAGATCTTCATAGCCCTACAACTGTGTCGACCTTCTACCTGAGATGAGAGGGAATGATAAAGCATGACAGTTTGTAGTTTCCATGTGGACGTTCACATTGACGTTTAAACGAAAGCTAACGAACACATGTCTTATTGGAGCAACAACACTGGCCATGAAATCACTCTAGAGGAGGATTCCTTTCATCCCTTTCCTTGCCAAATAAAGCACAAACATTGCCGGAAGAAAACAAACAAACAAAGCCAATTTAGGGTGAAGCACCTCTGGCGATGATCAGCATACAGCAAGGGACAGAGAGGGAGTGTTTCCTTCCCGACAGACAGCTCCTGGCTGACTTGGATGATGGCAAACACACCCTCGTCTGCAAAAGGCACTCACATATTGTCTATTTATAAATCATACAGTGGGAGTCCATACATGAGAGGTTTTCCTACAAATATAAAAAAGATAAGCTGAGGACATGGTATAACAAAGAAAAGAATATAAGAAATGCACATTTGGATAAATGTGCGCTTTTTATTTAAAGGACAATCAATATAGTAGTGAAATTTTTTCATTGAAAAGTTAGGAATTCCAGTGAAATGATCAGTTAAGAAGCAAGGTACTAGACTCTGAGAGATGGAGTCCAGAACACGGAGGGGAGGGACGCTACCTTTTCAAATGGCCAAAGGAAAGGATATGGTCTGCTCTTAAACTAGAAAGACCATTCACTCACAATGGAATGTGTGAGAGCGAAGGAGGGCGTGGCAGAGAGACAGGTGAAGCTGGAGGGAGGGTGACGTCCTTCGGGATGTGGGCATAGGAAGGGGTGCACCCGGACTCTCTGATGGGCTGCTTCCTCCTTGCCTCTGCAGTCCAAAGAGACCCTGCCCAAGCCAAGGCTGCCTTCACCGCGACACGACAGAGCTAATGGAATTGTACGATGTGCCACTATTGCAGCTTGAGGCGTAGGCTTCCTGGCCGTTGCCATCGAGGTTGATTTTGAACACAGAGGATGCCTTCAGGAGAAAGTCCGCCGCGTCCCGGCGCCCAAGCTCCCGCAGTTTGGACATGAGGATGCCGACGGTACTTTCGGGGTAGGAGGTCCATTCCCGGAGCAGGGCATGGATTGGGCTCGGGAGGAACTCTTTGGGAGCCCCGTTATTAGTGTTGTACTTTGCCACAAGGTCGGGGAGGCCCAAGTTCATGGCGAGAAGGCACCAATCCTTCCCCATGGGATCGGGCGGGTCCAGCAGGCGACTAAGTTTCCTCCGGGTCAGCAGGTTCAGATCTGACGCATGGATGTCCATCCCCAGGCTGGCCTGTGAGTAGATGTCGTGACACCCGAAACACATGATGCTGCTGAAGCTTTCCTTGTACCCACCCATGGTGTTAGTCAGTGAGGTCTCCTTAAGGGCCTGCGCCCGGAAGAAGTCCCGAGGCTGGTAGATCATGACGGGCTCGTGATGCTCCCTCAGCTGCTGGGGGCTCAGGTAATGCTTCACCGTCAACAGCCCGGGCAGCGTGGTGGCCATGACGTTCTCAATGGTGCTGCACACCGAGTCCAGAAGGAGGCAGCACTTGATCTTTTCCGTCTCCAGCCCGCGCACCTGGACCTCGATGCCCTGGCCATGGTTGACCAGAAGCACCAGAAGCTCGGCCCCGCGGTTGGCTATCTTGCAGCCGCTCACCCACAGGCGGATGTCCGCATCTCCCTCGGCGCTCTGTTGGTGGATCCACCGACACAGGTTCACTTGGACTTTGTGAAAGATGCCGCATGGGAAGGGGGTTAGGTGCTCCACGGGGACGATGCGCACGCCGCCATAGACCATCACCTCGTCCTCCTCGTCCGTCCAGGAGCGGTGCAAGTTGTCTGTCTTGATCAGGGCGGGGATGTCCACCATGGTCCCGCTGCTCAGGTCCCGGGCGCAGATGTCCATGGCATCTAGGATTTGCAGCAGCTCCTCCACGTCGCTGTCGGGCACCAGGCGCTGGACGTCCTCCATGGTGTAGCGGCCCCGGTAATGGTGCAAGGCCCGTGGGGTCTCCACGGAGAGCAGCTTGCCCAGGACGTTGGTGCAGAGCCAGCGGGGGTCCAGAAGCAGCACATCCTGGACTGTTTCACTCTGCATGATGTTGATCTGCCAGAGGGGACAACAGGAGGTCACACATAGGAACCTATATGAACAGAGGCATCAGCTGCTCAGAAAACAAAAGAGCTTGAGCAGTGACAATATCTGAGCAGATGTTGCAAGGAATGACCCAGGTCATTCATATGGCTGGATCTCAAAAAATCAATTACTAAGCCAAAAAACCAGTTTGAGAAGGTCATAAGAGAGATTTTGAATACCTTGGGATTCTTAAAAATGGTCAATGTAATGAAAGCCAAAACAAAGTGAGAGGTGGCAGCTAGCTAAATGGAATGAGTGATTTTTGACTGGATTCTGTCCCAAAATAAATACATAAACAGATAAAAATAACTAAAAAAGAAATTAGTGGCACACAGTGGCAAACATTTGAATAAGGGCTACATATTCAATAATAGTATTATATCAATGTTATGTGTCCAGAATGTGATAATGAATTATATTGTGGTTATGTGGGAAAATGTCTTTCTCTTTAAGAGATACAGCCTAAATTACTTAGGGGTGAACCATCATGATGTTTGCAAAAGTAAATAAGTAAATAAATAGAAGAGAGAGGGATAAAAGCAAATGTGGCAAAATCTAAACGATTTGTTAATTTAGGTGTAGCATATATAAGGATTTGTTGTACTATTCTTACAACTTCTCTGAAGGCTTGCAATTTTTCTAAAAGAGATTTAGAATGTTATGCTGTAAAATTTTAACACACGTACATAAAAAAGCTCTGGAAAGACATGCCACCGTGATAGTGATTGGCCCTGGAGAAGAGGAGAGACGAATGAGATTAGAGGTGATGCTTTATTTCTCTAAAAAGCAAAATTTGGAAAGAAAAAAAAATGTGACAAAAAATAGAAGCAACTTTCCTCTTTATGGAACACTTACCCCTCCTCTCTGCCCTCCCTGTTCTGGTCTATTTCTACAAATAATGGTGATCCAAGATGGACTCTGTTCTCATGGGGAGGCTGAGGCTCTGGACCTGTTGGCACCATAAGTATTTTTCTGCCCATAGTTTTAGTCTGACTTAAATCTTTGAGATGGCTTCTGTATATAATTCTGTTAGATTGAAAATTCCTGGAGGGTAGAGACTTTGGGTCTAAGATGGAGGGGTAGGAAGACCCTGAACTCAATGCTTCCCAAGAACACATCAAATTTACACTTACAGAGCAACTTCCCCTGAAGAAGAACTAAGGGCTGACTGAATAGCTTCTGTACGACAAATGAGAGAGAAACCACATGGAAAAATGGGTAGGAGAGACGGAGATACAAAACACCGACCTGCAGTAGGGGGGGATCACTGAAGGGCCTGCGCACAGCAAAAATACAGTGGTTTAAAGAACACCTAGACTATATGGGAAGGAAATCCATTTACTAAGCCTAGAGCATCTAGCAAATGGGAGGGAACTGTGGGAACTCTCTCCAGTGTTGGAGGCACTGGAGAAAGCGATTTGTGGCCCTCCCCCTTGATCACATAGGCAGGAGCACGATACAGGTGCTCTAGCCAGCCCTCCAAGGCTGTCAGAGTGCGTAGCAGGTCCCAGGTCCATACTAACTCCTTGGACAGACACTCCCAATGGCCCATGCCCACTCCAACTACAATTCGTGGCTCAGTTTGGCTTATTCTAGGGACTTTCTGTAGACCACACCTGTTTCAACTGTAGCTCCAACCAGCCTGTCGAGGTGGTTCTGGCTTGACTTGCCCCGTGGACTCCCCAGGGCCCAAACCTGCTCCAACCCTCAACAAGGCTTGCCCCCAGGATACCCTCGGCCTAAGCCATCTCCAACTATAACCTCAGCCAGACCATCAAGGCAGCCCCAGCAAGGCTTGACCCAGGACTCTACAGGACTTGTTCCTGCTCCTGATCCAACCAGCCTGCCAAGGAAGCCTCAGTGTGACTTTCCCTTGGGTCTCCTGGTGGTCCATGCCCAATCCATCTCTAGGTCCAGCTGGCCTGCCACAGATGCCTGGCACATGCAGTCTACAAAGGGGAATTTCCTACACAAGGCCACTCCTTCAAGACAAGGAGAAGTTATTTCACCTAATTTATAGAAACAAACAAACAAAATGAGGGGACAGAAAAATATGTTCCAAATGAAAGCCAGAATATAACCCTAGAACAAGAACTAAGTGAAACAGAGACAAGCAATCTACCAGATAAAGAGTTCAAAACACTGGTTAGAAGGACGCTCAATGAACTAGGGAGAATAGACCAACTCAGTGAGAATTTCAACAAAGAGGTACAAAGTATAAAAAAAGAAACAGTCAGAATTGAAACAGTAACTGAAATGAAAAAATACATTAGAAGAAATCAACAAAAGCGGCTGATGCAGAAGAAGTCAGCGAGGTGAAATACAGTAGTGGAAATCACCCAATTGGAGCAGCAAAAAGAAAAAAGAATTAAAAAAAAATGAGGATAGTTTAAGGGACCTCTGGGACAACATCAAGCAGACCAGCATTCTAATCACAGGGATCCCGTAAGGAGAAGAGAGACAGAAAGGGACAGAAAACCCATTTAAAGAAATAATGGCTGAAAAATTCCCCAACCTGGTGAAGGAAACAGACATCCAAGTCCAGGAAGCAGATAGTCCCAAACAAGATGAACACTAAGAGGCCCACACCAAGACACATCATAATAAAAATGTCAAACGTTAAAGAGAGAATATTAAAAGCAGTTAGTATCATATAAGGGATCCCCCATAAGACTATAAACTGATTTTTTCAGCAGAAAATGTGCAGGCCAGAAGGGATTGGCATAATATATTCAAAGTGATGAAAGGGAAAACCCACAATGAAGAATAGTCTACCCAGCAAGGTTATCACTCAGAATTGAAGGAGAGATAAAGAGTTTCCCACATAAGTAAAAGCTAGTGGAGTTCATCAACACTAAACCAGTATTAAAAGAAATGTTAAAGGGAATTCTTTAAGTGGAAAAGAAAAGGCCAAAACTAAAAATAAGAAAATATAGGAAAGAAAACAATCTCACTGATAAAGACAAACATTCAGTAAATGTAGTGGGTCAACCAATTATAAAGCTAGTATGAAGGTTAAAAGATAGTGATTAGACCATGTGTAACCACAGTAATGAATTAAGGAACACACACTCACACACACATATAAAAGATGTAAAATATGTCAAAAACATAAATGGGGTGGGTGAGTAAAAAAATGTAATGCTTTTAGAATGTGTCCGAACTTAAGCGACCATCAACTTAAAATAGACTGCTATAAACATAGCTTGTTATATATGAATCTTATGGTAACCACAAACCAAAAACCTATTATAAATACATAAAAAAATTAAAAATAGGAATTCAAATAAATCACTAAAGAAAGTCATCAATGTATAAGAAAAGAGAGCAATAAAAGAAGAAAGGAACAGAGAACTAAAAAAAACCCCAGAAAACAATTGATAAAATAGCAACAAATACATACCTATACATAATTACTTTAAATGTAAATGGACAAAATGCTTCAATCAAAAGACATAGGAGGGCTAAACGAATTAAAAACAAGACCTGTGCATATGCTGCCTACAAAAGAGTCACTTCAGAACAAAAGACACACAGAGTGAAAATGAACAGATGAAAAAAGATATTTCATGTAAATGGAAACAAAAAGAAAAGCTCGAGTAGCAATACTTATATCAGACAAAATAGACTTTGAAACAGGCTGTTAAGAGACAAAGATGGGGCCGGCCGAGTGGCGCGATGGTTAAGAACTCGCTTGGGATGCCAGAGGGCCCCGGTTCGGATCCCACATATGAGGGCCAGTGACACTGC